CGTACATAGAGTAGACTTTGACTAGCGAAAAGCGAAGCTGGTGTGACACAAGTAGCTGGCAGGAATTCCAGCCCTAGGAGAGTGCCACCGGGTCAATTGAAATCTTGCAGTCGGATTTAGTTATTAAGTTGACGTAGAGGCACTAGCCACTGCTTTTTTTGAGTAAAAATCAATCTTTGACAATGTAGATGGAAATACCGTTCTACAGCCACAAGTGTTCATCCCGAAATGAGTCGCTGCTCGCTGTTTTGCGTAAAAAGTCTCGATTTTGCTCTTGATCACTGAACTGGCACAGGGTACCAGATGACTCCATCCGCCGGGACGAGACACGCCCATTTTTCAGTAGGCTCGCCAGAAGTGATAAAATGTTCCGTCTTTCTCTGTATCAGTCTAATCACATGATCCAGGCCATCATCGTTTCCGAAATGTGCTCCCCGTAGCTCGGCAAACGCGTGCAGCGCGCAGTCCACCACCGTATTTTGGTGTCTGCATGTGGCCGTCGTGACTAGACCTCTAGGTCATGTTGCAGCGGAAAGCGGCCTTCCTAAAGGAGGGGGTTCCCCCCAAGCTGCCAAGTCAGCGACCAAGTTGTTTCCTTTTGGGTAGGGTGCATTAAGGACCCTAGCAGCAGCAAGTGGCCGCTAGTTATGGCGAAGAGTCGATCAGATTGTGGATGTGTAACATGTCGATAACATCGCATCCAATCTAGTGCGGCGCGGGCTGTAATGGGCGAACATGCACTTGAAAAGGGCTGTGAGAAACGGCCTCACCTTGCCCAAATCACTTTAAAAAGCTACATTGAAGACCTGCCTTGCACTACGGAAGCCAGTCACCTTCGTTTACTTAACCAAACTAGGCAATGTCATCACCTCCTGCAAAGTCTGGGTCCTGTTCATGCTGCCCGGATCCGGGGAGCCTCTCAGAGCCTCGCCAAGAAGCTGGACATGCGCAGGACAGTGGCAACATGGGCGACGCCGGTGTGGGAGCAAGTCCCGAAGAAAATCTTCTGCGAATACAAAATCAGCTGTTCGATCTCGAAAGCCGCCACAACACCGTGGCGAATCGCTACGACTCCGCTACCACGAATGCTCCGCTTGAGACAGCTGAGGCGTTGCCTGAAGAACACTACAGAATCCAGGCGCTAGCGCAGGGAGCCTTGGGCTTCACCCCCACGGACCGTCCCCTGAAGCGAAATAGAGCTGCATTTGAGGGTGCGTCCCCAAAACCCTGTCCCGAATCTGGTTCACAATCAACGACTTACAGCGCGGCCTTCCGGAAGGCACTCGCTCAGGTTGTCCGGAGGCACATAGGTAGCTCAAGGGTCAATATAGAGTGCACAGTTGGAGGTGACTGGGGCGACGCAGGTGAAAGGTATAGGATTGAAATGGCATTTCAGTGTTAATTTTAGGCATTCGAGTGTGCGGAAAATTCTACTCTAGTTTCATATAGTTGCCGTCTGGCTTATTATACACAATCTTCGCTGCATAGTCTTGCTCAACGGCCGATGCCCCGACAGCTTTCTGCGCCGCAGCGGCGAGGCTGTCCTCCGGCCCCGGGAAACGTGTCGAAATTGTAGTGCCGCTGGCGTAGAACGAATAAGCATGGACCCCCGAGACCACCTATTTTTGCCCGACACAAGTTGGGTCAGGTGCTGGTGTTGCTGACCAGCGGCGCGGTTGGCACCGGTGGCCTGAATGAAGTCCAATTCGAGACACCTGCGCAGCATGATTAAATGGACTAAAACGGGCCATTTGAGCCGGAACCGTGTTTGGGAAGGCCTTCTTATGAGCTTCTCAGGGCGGTGGAATTAGCCGCGCAACGCTTTCTCGTTCCATGGCGTGATGCTATAAAGGCACTGCTGTATGTATCGGCATAGTTCATCTTCCTGGCAGCTTTCAAGCGGTGACGGTGCTCTGCGAAATCTTATGGCTGTCCTTCGGGATCTGCCCTTACGGCGTCACATCAGCTGCCCGTGGTCCTCTAAACTGTATCTTGTCGGGGCGCTCCTGACAGTTGAAATATCTCCCTACGTATTCAGGGGTGTGCTGGCAGAGACGGTGGATGCGAACGACTGCCAGTGTGTCCAACAACCAAGTCAACCAAAATATGGCCTCCTTACTCGACTTGGTTGGCTCAGGCCTTTGCTTTACTTGGTTGGTCACAAAAAGTCCTTACTTGGTTGATATTACTTGACGGCTATTCCACAATAGGCAATTCTATGGCAAAATACAAGTCCGAAGCAGATGTTTTTGGCATGCAATCGCTGCAACAGTGTCCGATTGAAGACGATTCCGTTCATCAGTGATGACCTTCTTTGTCTGTGAGAATACCCGCTCACACTCGGCGCTCATTGCTGGGCAGCTGAACAAATCAAATGCCATTTTAGAGAGGATTGGATAGTCGGCCGCGTGAGCAACCCACCACTCTAATGGATTCTCGACTTCCACATCAGCCCTGTTAGCTCGGGCCATAAACTCATCAAGCTCGGAGGTGAGCTTGATGCGCTTGGTTCCTAATGAGCCTGACGCCACAGTGGCAGCAAGCCGCTGACGACGCCTACGGGCCTGCTGGAGAGGGTCTAGTGCTGCACCATTGTCGCCAATGACCTCCTCATTAGGCTGCTTTCCTACCACATCTCTCTCTGCAGCCACTTCCTCATATTGGGCGTACACCTCACGCACCACCCTCTTTGCTTCACTGATCCACTTCTTGTTGTGACTCCATTCAAGCTCGAAGTATGTAAATTTGTTTGCGGGATGCAGGGCAACGGCACAGCGATACGCCGGGGAAGCATCTGTCAAGCCAAAATACTCTTCAAGCTTGATGCGGGCGGCATCGATAGCATATGAATAGTATGTTGATACCACTTGTGGGACCACTTGTGGGTAATTATCTGCAAATTTCCCCGCCTCTTGAAGCTCCTTGAAGAGGACATCTAGCGACTCAAGCGTTTCGTGGAGGGAGCCATGTGACCCCTCAAGGCCTGCTTTATTTGCCCGACCTTCCATGCGTTTTGTCAAGTCTTTGAACGGTTTCAAAATACCGACGAAGTGCTTCAAATCAATCCAATCCTGCGAAGTAAGTATATCTTGTGAGATATTATATTCCTTGCTTGTATGGTTATAGTTGAGGAAGAAAAGATCGATAGCGTGGCGAAGTTTAAGAGCTCTCTCAATCATCGCGTACGCAGAGTTCCAGCGGATACCACCATCAACTAAAACTCTAGTATAGAGGGTTTCGATGGTACCCTCTTCGTACGCTGTCAACACGTACTGCTTCAACAGCTCTCTTCGCTGGTCACTCCTGTTAATCCACACACAGAAGTTATGGAGCTTGCCAACAAAGCTCTGCTTCCTCCATATCTCGAAACGCTCCTCATCCGATGCGCCACGCAGCTGTTGTTCCAGCTTGCTCACACCTTGCCCAAAGAGGAGAGCCTTGACTATGAGGTTCAACATGTGACCAACGCATCGAAGGCGACTCTGCGGATGGATCGCTGGGTATTGCTTTGACAGCTCCTGAATGCATGTGTCATTGCTGCTAGCGTTATCCATCATAAAGAAACCTAAGACGGTAGAGATGTTGTAGAAGTCAATGACTATCGACAGTGCCCTCGCCATATTCTCACCGGAGTGGGGTCCTTTCAGAGGCGGAAGATCCAGAAGAGCTGTTTGCAACTTATGGTGTTCATCCAAGAAGTGCGCAACAATTGCCAAATAACTTGTTCCTTCTTCAGATGTCCAGGCATCCATAGATATGTGGATCTTGCTTGTTGCACTGTGTAGCTTCTCCCTAAGCCAAACACGCCTTCCTACATCGCCTTCCCATTTCTCTTTAATCCAGCTGCCTAGGGTAAATGGGCTCTTGGGCAGAATTTTGCCAACATCTTCCATGTATTTTGCAAACATCTCATGCGTGCGTTGATGAGTTGCTTGACGAAAAGTCAGGTCGAGGTCGATCACCCAGTCGGTGAAATTATCCTTGAATTGCAAGTCGTTGAATACTAGTCGTCTTCCTCCAAGATATGATGTAAGGTCGGTAATACCTTTCACTGTGTTAAAGGTTCTCGAGTCAGCCGATTGGTAGCCAAATTCCTCCAGTTTATGCTGATGTTTTAGATGGTAAATGATGCTGGTGGTGCTTTCACTTGAAAAGAGAGCGTTGTGGTGGTGGCCGCGTATATGGCAGTACTTGCAGAGCCAGTATTTATTGTCACCGTCGGTTGTCAACTGAGCGCCATGCTTATAGATTGCTGATGGTTGGAGTTTAGAATTGAGGGTGCGTTTATGAGGCTGGCGGTATCGAATGGACGGCAATGGCTTGCCGTCATAGCGAATGCTGTCCCACTTAATGGGGAAAACACATTGAGAAGTCCCTGGTGCCTGCCTTTCGTCGGCAGTGGATGGCGTGGATGGTCCGTCCTCGAATGGCTTGGTCGGGGACGACACCAGGCTGGGCGTGTTGGACAGGAAGTCAAGAGATTCGCAAGGAGATCCGGAAGGAGTTGTATGTGGAGTAGGCCTTTCGATCATTCCATACGGTCGAAAGAATGGATGCGTTGACATGGCTTCATGCATGTCGTACTTCGGTAAATGTTCCGTGAATACAAAGACTAGGCGAGAAATTTGCGAGCATATATGAGCTAGGAGATCGCAGAGCCAATCACAGCATTTGGACCCACCCGCTATGCCCCGTTTTGGCACTGTTTTCGAGCAGATCAAGTAAAGCCAAGTAATGGAAGCAGGTTGCTTTGCTTGGTTGATCTGGAATCCTTGCTTTACTTGGCTGACAAGTATCGAGCAATCACAACCAACCAAGTCAAGTTATTTGGTTGTTGTACACACTGACGACTGGTTGTTACCCCTGCCAGCGCTGCTCTGGGTTCTGGACACAGGCTTTTCGCTTGAGCTTTGGTACGACATTAGACAGAGACCGAGAGTTGGCGATCCGGCACATAAGATAATCAAAAACGTAATCGGGCACCACGAGGACGCCTCCGGAGATGTACACTACGCAGTTCTGTGGGAAGGATACCTCTGCCCTGGCTGGGTATCAGACGAGGACTTGTACAGCCACAAACTCGTGAGCGACTATTGGCTTAGGCAGCAGCAGGGCACATGAAAGCACTTGCTGTTATTGGCCTCTTGTGGCTACCGGTGAACATAGACTGGCATCACGGACGGGTAAGCCAGAGTCTACATGCATCCTAGACCAGGCTGTCACTATTATTGTTGTTTTAGGAAAAAAAGTGACACTCTACTTGCCCTTCTCTGTAACAAATTATAAAGCTGAGTACTGAGAATGGCACTTAGGCATGAAGGTTTGGGCGTAACAACATGGCTGCTGTTTGGACGTCTGGTTCGGGCTTCGATGAGGGCAGAGCAGAATGTAGACGAAGCGGCAAGTGTGAAGTGAAGTGTAGCCAGAGAGGTTTAAGTTAGCTAAGGCACTAATACATACGCAATCTGCCCCCCCTCGTCATATTCCATCTGTCGGCGCGCCGACTCTAGTTATCGCAGGCTTGCCAGCTGCTGGGTGCGTAGATTTGCCCCGACGCGACTGTTGTCCGTGCGAGCGACCAGAATAATCTCGAAATAGACTAGGGAGGGTAGGTAAAACTAGGAATACGAAATTACGTGGGTAATAGTTATCAGCCACGATAGGTAGAGGAGTTAAGTGTAAGCTTGGGCTATTACGGGATCTTAGATGCCTGTAGGTCACTATAAAGTAAATATATAATGGATATTGTTTTGTCCTCTCCTCGTTTGTCGACTTACCATATCTTAACTGGACGTAAGGCGCCTGCAGGATCCTGACTAGCTAGGTGGCTGGAATGCTGTGTGGGGTTAAGGGGGTGGTTAAAGAGACAAGCATCATAAGAAAAAGTATCTGTGAGTGATACACGATGTGTAGTGACTAGCCGGGGATATGGCCCGACCTGGGCTGGTAAAACGATCCCGGGTGATAGGCGGTACCACCGACCAACCTGGTCGCGCCCACAGACCAAGTAGCCGTCCCCGCCCCCTCTCTCGCACGCCTTAAGAGGCGGTCCGCCATGGGGATGGGGAAAGCTTTTACCCCTGTCACTCAAAGTCTCGATCTTGACAGGCTTGGTAGCAATTTGAAGTCAAAACTACAGCGTGGACAGAAATTGGTGCACAAACCAGCCAACAGAGCAGATTGGTGATGATATCAGGCCATGTCCACAAGAATGCTTGACTTGTCTGCCGCCTCGGAGCACACCCCTCCGACGAAGTGGCATCAGCCAACTTCAACCACCTCGTTGCAGGGCTTCCACCGGCGACGGAAACGACGGCTCCGTGCGCCGCCATCATACACAATGTTTCTCCCTCGCTTCCCGGCAACATGCTGCCATCACAAGTGAGACGTTGCAGGAGCAATTACCATTGCCTGCACGTCGCTGCCGATATAGTAGCCTTTTAAAATGATGTACACGATGAAATCTGGCTCGACTTGAGAGTTCTGGTCTACTATGAATTGGCTGTCGGCGATTGCGCCGTCAGGGGAAGGCCTTCCAGGTGGCGGTGCTAGTAATCCCGAGTAGCAAGACAGCAAGAGCATAGGAAAAGCACTGAATTAGTACTCTAGACAGAAACTTGAGGCGAGCCTGACATATTTTTGTAGCTCCTAGTTAAACTTTGCCAGAAACCCGCGACTATTGAAATGCGTGACGTAGCCATCAAAGCTAAAGTTGTCTTGTCGTCGTCTCTTCCTTCCCCTTAGCACATCTTGCTCCTCCGACTCCGACTCATCATCGCTCACATAGCCCTGCGTTTCGTTCTCGCCACGGGTTGGTCGCCGTCTCTTTGAAGGGTCACCCGCGGGGGTTGTAGTCCTTTTTATCCCTTTCTTTCGCCACAGAACGTATTACTGTCCGTAGATGGTCATATCCTACGCTACCATCTCGTGATACTGCAATCCAATACCTGCGCTCTGCTCGAAAACTCCCCACTCGATAATAGTGTAAAACCGTTGAGTCCGAAATTGAAACTGTTATATCGTAGAGATTCGGCATTTCCGTCACGTCTTTGAAGTATTCGGAATGACTCTCATCGGTGACATAAATGGAGATCGAGCGATCAGAAGGCGAAACATCACGGGACTTGACCACTGGAGGGCGGAAATCGTTATCGTCTAACTGGCAGATAATTTTTGGAGGTGCTGGCTAGCTTCCATAGATATGCCCGGGAAAAGCTCAAGGGGGCGTCTTGTATCGGCACTCTTGAGCCAGCGCAGCCAGCTCCAGGGCATGATTGCGGTATGCGAAGCTTGGTTGTTGCTAATAAGCCGTCGGCTTTCCGTCTTCGAGTATTCCCTCGACTTCTAGGAAATACTCTTCAATTCGATATTTTGGGCTGCAGAGCAGTGTGAGTGTGCATTATGAGAGATGATATACTATAGACTACGGATACGAAATACTGTGACTACCTTGGCGTCTCCGCCTGGGGAAAAGGGTTGGTCTGCCAGCTGAGACACTTGAGTCCGCGGTCGCGGAACGCTGTAGTGAACGGGAATTGATGGATTCCATTTGCATGAGGCTTACAGGGGAAGAGCTTCGTGCAAGAACAAAGGCAGCTTTGAAGTTCCTGGGCCAGATGTCATCTATTTTGACGGCACTCCATCTTTAGGCCACTAGAAGATTAGTTCAACTATCTAGTTCTTCTGCTATTTACTATTAAGATGGAGAGGAAAGAAAATGAATTAAGGGTTAATAAATTAGCGACATAATCTGTATTTGCTATTAGAACCTTGCATGATGATGCCTGCATCTACCGAATAGTTGATGAACGAAGTGTTGCGTTCGATAGCGATTTCGTGACCAAGCTTTATGTGCGTCCAGACGTGCTTAGCCCAGTCATCCCAGGCACCGATACCGCAGAAGTTTTTGACACACTCTTTCGCGGGACAGGACATCATTAGTGGTGGTTGCCTGCGCCTCCGTCGCGAACCCTCCACGCACTGTAGAACGTATTCGCGGCTATATCCGTGCGCCTGACGAAGATGCCTTCTGAAACTTTCTATATGGGAGTACATTTTGAAGTTGCCGTTCCGGTGACAGGCCAAACATTCGTAGCTTTCGAAATGGAAATGTACCATTTCAAGATGTTGCTGCCACTGACCTTGACGTCCGAATTCGCTTTTGCAGCCGGCGAAGGAGAAAGAGCACGGAAATTTCCTGTCCCGGCCGTTGAGCCGTGAGGCGGCCATAGACTGATCCTGGCCTTTTGTATGTCCATTTCCAATATCTGATCCGTAGCCCGGGTAGCGCGAAGCTAAGTTCGAGTCCGAACTCGGGTAGCTGTTCTTGTATTCCGAAGGGAGGACTCGAGGCGGTGATAGATCGGGTGTCTTCATGAAGGAACTGGAGTTGTTGGCCCTGGCGATGGCCGTCATGTCGGCGAATAGTTGTCCAGTAGAGAACGTCGGGCTTCTGTGTAAGTTGTGGAGCGCTTGAACAAGGCACTTCGTGAAGTTCGATGAGTCTGGGGCAGTTTGCTGCCCTGCGGCGATCACTTGTCTCAACCCGTGGCTGGAGGGAATAGTCTCGAACTTAACATAGGTATCCAGCAAAAAGAATATATCAGCTCGGGTATATTCAAGGCAAAGGCAAAGAGCAGCCCATTTCAGTCTAAACGAGCGATGTTGGGCAGATCTATAGCTAAGTCAGACGCTGATCTATACGGATAAATACCATAGTCGGGCAAAACATACCGAGCCCAGCATAGCTGCATGGAAGAGTCAAGAAAGCCATATCCTGTGTAGTAGATAATAAGAAGACGGCTTTGATTCGCTTTTTCGAGAAAAGCATCTAGCGGTGCTGCGAGTTTTGTAATGGGATTTTCCACGGTTGGAATCTCGAAAGTTTGCGTGCAGAAGCGGTAGTCATCTTCAAAAACCCGCTGGAATTCGAGTACGTTGCTTCTGGCAGATGACTCGCCCTCCCAGCTCAGCAGTAGGGCAGCAACACCCTGGTTTTCGTCGGTGGTTTGGGGGTAGCCAGAGTAACCATTTGCATCGCCACAGAGTAGAGACTGGATTGAGAGACTCATGACATGAGTTTGCGACGGGCGTCTGGTTGAACAGGTAAGGAAAACACGAACAGTTCTTGACAAGCAAGGTTGAGCAGACGGAGCACAGAAGATTGAGCCGGAGAGGAAAACACCAGCGGCAGTCTCGCGGCGAGGCGGCGCCGATATTGATCATATACAATGACAAGAGGCTGTAGCCGTGCAGTGACTCTCAGGGCATGAGGTCGGCACGGCGCTGCGCAGGGGACGGGTGCTCCGTCGACACCCAGCAGGCCTACAATAGCACAAGCCCTGCCGTGAAGGATGGCGCCGGAAGAGGGTGGTGGACATTAGTTGAATTACAGCTAGACCAGGGGTGAGGTGTGTCCATAAGAATACATTCATCATTGCCACCGAGGGTTGGATGGCGGAGTCAGATACCTGCAAGCAGGTGTGTTCTGTTAGTTCTCCCCGGCTCAAGCACTCCTGTCAATTCAGCCCAGAGTGCCTGCACCCGGCGGATAACGGGCTGCGTGCCAACGACTTTCGACAAGACTACTCTCTGCCTTGCATGATGCAGCCACCGTGACCAGGAAGTGGTCATCACGGTTAGTGGTGGCGACGGACAAGGCCGGCGAGGCCCGCACGACCGAAATGAATCGGACGAAGTCACCGCAACGTCTCGAAGAACAGCCACATGCGGGAGCTACTGCTGGCGGGGGGGGGGGGCCTAAGCTAGACCAGATAATAGTATTCAGGAGTCCTGTCACGCGCCGATCCATCTTCGCGAGACCACAGGGAAGTAGCTGCGTAATGACCGTGCCGTCCCATGCGTTTCCTCCGACCCGGGGGGGACACCATTTACGCAACTACGAAATTACGAAGCTTCTTCTGTCTCGAGTTTCTCGTAATGTAAGGGTCAAAAGAAGGATCGTTTTAAGGAGAATCTGTACGTATCTTCTATCATAATTCCAGCAATCTTCAGATCGCAATGTTTGGATCTCTGTGTCCCCTAGCCGGAGAAAGACAAGGCCCTACGCATTGACGAAGTATTCGAGCCCAGGGATATTCTCGTAGTTCTTCTTCAGCAAGCCTATAGGCGGCCATCGGACATCAGCGACCAGTGGATCAAACGCTCCAAATTCTAGCAGCTGTGTACCACATCGCTCGAATTGCTGGCAAGGAGCTCTGTTTCTCTGGACTTTGGGTGTGGCTGTGAACGTAAAGATAAATCTCGCCGCTTTCTGCACCATCCAACAACAAATATCTGATGCAGACCGCCTCTTTCATGATTATCCTTGGCAGAAATTATCTTGGAATTTTCGTGTATGCTCCGGGTCGGCCATGTTGACCCCGTTATTGCTCCTGGCTGGCCAGCGGATATGCACGCCACCACGTAGACCCAGGGCAGACATGGTTTGGACTGAAGCCTTGTTTTACCCGCGAACAGCCTTGTGGGCTGAGAAGCAAACGTCAGGCCGTCAGGCGTACTCCTGTGTATTTATAATGTCACATGCCCGGTATCGTCCTCGCTTCATCTAGCTTTTTCATCTTCTGCCGTTTACTGCTGACCATGAGTGTCCCGACGGGTGGGGCAGCCGTAGGCGACTCGGCCTATCATTCTTCCGGAGGGGTCCATGATACTGTAGACCCCAAGGATACTATTTTGCCGCCCAAAAGCAACATGCTACACACAACGATAACTCTTTCGAGCGACCAAACCAAGCTTGTTGCGGAGGAGGCCAAGGCGCTTGATAAGGAGTCTACGGAGGCGCCCCTTAAGTTGTTGTCTGATAGCGGCCAGAAGCTTTTCGGATCACTGGAGAGGAAAATAGTACGTTGCGCACTTTTCAGACCCAAGAAAGAAACTAACGAGATAGTGGGAAACTTTGCAAAGTTCCTACGGGGCTCCTCTCGGGCCCCTTCCGACTGTGAAACGGGCGATGAAGCTGCCTCGAGGAAGAAAATTCGATGTGGTCCGCGCCGATGTTCTCGTGGCGATCCTACTGGCGGATTCTGAAGCAAAACATGATGCGGATTCGGAAGCAAAACATGATGTTAAGATCGTTTCGGCCTTAGGCCTTGAGTACAGCTGGCCCGAAAACGCTGCTTGTATTTTACCTCGTGGATGGACGTTGCGTTCAAAGGGGAAGGATTGCTACGTAGCCATGATGCCGGTTTATTTTGAAGGAGGAGATAAAGAGAATGACATTAAAAACTAAGGGACAAGAAGTTCTGGCATCAGCTCAGTGTACGTTGCGTGATGTACTCGGGAGGGGCAAAGTCCAATTAGGCCAACTACATGAGGAATTGCTCAGGAGGAGGGAAATCTAAGTCGTTCAGTGTCTCAGCTGCTTCAGGTGCCTGCATGAGGAACTGCTCGGAAGGAGGAAAGCCCAAGTCGTTCAGTGTCCCATATGCTTCGGGTGCATGCATGAGGAACTGCTCGGGAGGAGGAAAGACCAAGTCGTTCAGTGTCCCATATGCTTCGGGTGCAGGCATG